CGACGGAGCGGCCGGAACGACCCCGGGTGGGTTTGCATCCGCAAACGGGAGGATCGATGCCCCGGGGGATCTCTAGTCGCGCTGGTGTTAGTGCATCCTAGCTGCCTGTGTCTAAGCTTTTGTCCTTTTAACGTGTCCTGTTGCAGTCCAGTCTGCAGACGAAGAATTTAATATATAATTCTATACATATATATAGTTTAAGGCCAATTCGTGTATCTGTTGAAAGCAGTGAGAAGTTCTACCGTGCAGTTCAATCACACAGGGTTTTGACCCATGACACTCTAATTTTCTCTGCAGCGATGTCAGCTGGTGAAAAGCAGGCAACTGTTCTGGAGGAACAGGGTGTCTAAATGCCAGTTTTGATGTCTACATTTCATAGTAAGCCCACCCACCGAACTGGATTTAAGGCGCGCTTTCACAATTTGCAGAGTTGCAAGCTGTGTACATACTGACCTCCCTTCCCTCTCTTTGGGCTCAAGCAGAAGAGGCACCTTGTTTTTGGAGATGGCTGCAGGTTGTTTCTTCTGTCTTGGAAGAAGCGTTTTGATAGAGCCCGCAGAGGGCTTTGTGAAGCTGCTGTCACTCAGCTTTGCTGTCGGTGTATATGCAGGGTCTTTTGTCCCGATTCTGACATGAGCCAAACTTTTTGCTTTAGGTGCATCTTGACAATTCATGGAACTTTAGGCACTTGGCTGGAACGTGGGCTCCGTATGGAGGAGGTTATCCCGGATATGCCCATAGTGATCTGCAAAATTTGACCCATCTTACACCCTCTTTAAAGCTAATGGGAGCTAGTAATTTCTTGATGGCAGTGTTAGCCCCGTTAGACATTTTATAAGTTTCTGGAAGCCTGCCACTATTTCATTTAGATCCCTAGCTGGGGGAAAAAAAAAAAAAAAAATCCCACAAAAGCTATTTAGCCATTAGGAGAATGTTGGGTTTTTTTCCCAGAAATTTTCCCTTTCTTCACTCCTTCAACCTTTCACATTTAGAGTGAATCCTCTTAATTGCATCTCTATGTGCAAATACGAGCTCTGGGTTTTAGCGGAAGTCCTGTGCTGGTGTAATCTGCCATTCGTAACCCACTGCATTTTTTGATACTGATCTGAAAAAATAAAGACGTATGCTTATCATTAGCAGCATGATGATAGTTATCTTAAGGCACAAATCCATTCTATGATAAAATATCTCATTGTTTCGGTTGCGTGCGTTGAAGTTGTGATCCTGGTGCTTTCTGCTGCGTTGAAGTCGCTCTGTGGGAGTCGCAGTGTTGCTCTGTTTTCCAGTTCATTTCCCGAATGTGCGTTGAAGTTGTGATCCTGGTGCTTTTCTGCTGCGCTGAAGTCGCTCTGTGGGAGTCGCAGCGTTGCTCTGTTTTCCAGTTCATTTCCCGAAGTGTAGCCGAGTAGGGCTGAGTGTGCAAGTCGCTGTGCGAGGTGCTCTGCGCTTGGTATCCAGCAGGTCAACGTGTGTTTGTAGTTGTTATTTTATGAAGCTATTGATGTGAAATCGTACCTGTGATATACGACCTGTGAGAATTTGCCTTTGTGCGTTTGTGGCATATATCTACATCTAAAACTTTCCTGGGAAAGGGGACCGGAGGCGTGCTCAGAAAAGTGATTCTTCGTCCTTTATTTTTCCTGGCCCTTGCTCTGTAGGGGCTCTCAGCTTGTGTGCAGTGCTTTTCCCAAGCAGGTCTCAGTGTGTTACAATGATCAGTGCTACTGCTGACTTTTTTTAATAGCCGGAGGAACCAGAGAAGAGAGACATGACGTTCTTACAACACTGGTCCTGCTTTGTACCTAAAGATTTTTTTTCGTGAGCTTGGATAAAGCTTCTAACTTTGCTGATACGAGTAACACTGTGTGAAAAAAAGCTTAGGATATTTCCCATGGTGTCTTAGGTGAAGAAAAGGTAGAAATCATCTCTTATAGCTTCTGTTCTGTACTCCCTTCTTTAACGCTTGTAAAATTGTTCTTTTTACCAAATATCAAATTTGAACATTGACTGTCTTCAGTTTAATTAATGTTCTCATTGGTTTTAGTTATGAATTCTCTGAAGCTCCTGTGTTTTAGATAGACATTTAGGGAGCATTTGTTAATTAAAGCCAAACTGATTTTTGCCTTCGGGCATGGGTTTTTTTGCATTAAAAGGTGGCATAATTTGAATTATATTCTCCTGAATCTGAATCTTTTTTGTGACACAGAGACTAACAGCCCAATTTCTCTCCTGCTGCTGTTTATAATATTAAGTGACAAATAAACAAGATTGTGAAGGCCTACAAGATCATACGTTACTTGATGGTAGGGCACAGAGAGCTTTTGGTCAAAGCAGCCAGGCATTGGAGTTAGAGTATGCTTCAAGCATTACACTATGCAAGTCATACGTCCCTTACGCAGTAGTGCAGTATTTCCATGTATGGAGTTCTCGGAGTAGATGTGACTTAGCACACTGTATTTATTAGATGTACAATATGCGTTGTAATTTACACTTTTCCGATAGCTTCTGATTCCTTTTTCCTAAGGACCCTCCAGCCTCCTCTCCCTCTGCCTTCAATTTTGTGTTATTGGAGAGGGTTTTTTCAAGTCATGTTATTTGAAACAAAAATATGATTTCTGTGTGTTGCTGGCTATCAGTAGGAAAATACAGTAGCTGTAGGCTAAGTGACAAAACTCGTTTATGTTACAAGACTTGAGTGCTTTTTATAGACAGATATTGATTCTGGGTTTTAAGGAAGGGTTAGTAACAAAGTTTTCAAATACAAGGTTCTTTCCCCCCCCACCCCCTGAGATTTGGAAATCTTCTGCTTAGGTCAGGCTTGAGCGACAAGTCTACTGAAGTCAATTGAGATTCATTGGCTTTAACTGGATTTAGGTCAGCTCTTGCCTTGTCTTGTCAAATACAAGAAAGAATAAAAATAAATGCGAAAAGCCAAGCCTTGTTTAAATCAAAGATGATTGTTAATTTAAACATCATAAACATATGCTGTCTTCTAAATGCATGCTTGCTGGATACATGAGATGTGTTTGGGAATGAGGAGGTTGATGGTATGAAATCTAAAGGAGTAAGTGTCTGCTTCTGTGCGTTTGCTTCATCTTACAGATTTCACTTTGCGCTTGCCTGTCTTTTGATTAAGTGGACACCAGTGAAGACTGCTTTCTCTTCTTCTGGTGACTGTAGCATTGCCTCAAGAATGCTTTGCTGGTCACCTAGGATTGCCACTTAAAGAGGTCGACCAAATCGGAGCTGTATCTTAACCGCTGTGGTTTTTTTTTCTCTTCCTTCCCTCACTCCCTCCCTCTGCAGAAGGATGTAGCTCTGAAACCTCAGGAACGCGTGGAGAAGCGACAGAATCCGCTTGCCAAGAAGAAACGGGAAGCACTTACCAATGGGCTGGCGTATATTCCAAAAAAGAACAGACTTCACCACCACCAGTACAACTCTGACCGAGAAAATGATCGTAATCTTTGTCAGCACCTTGGGAAAAGGAAGAAAATACCGAAGGGCCTCAGACAGGTGGGAGACAAGTTATCTGTTGCGGGGAGGGAGGGCTTTGACTGTTGGCACATGGTATGTAGAAGTGGATTTCTCATTTTGTGGGATCGCTTATTTTAACCTCTTTGTAGTTGTTTTATTCTTGGGGTCTCAGGTGCAGCTTGCTACCATGTCCTGGTACTAGAAGAGATTAATTGAGTGGGAAAGCAAGCAGTCTGCTGGTGCTACAGCTGGGTTCATTAATAAATGTGCAAAGGTTGGAAGAGCTTTCCATTGACTGGCTGTGAGACTGTCAGGGCAAGCAAACGTGGTCTCTGTTACGTTGTTAGGCCAACTTTGTGCTATAAATATGCCTTCGTGTCTTTTGACTTTGTACAGAGGCGTAAGACCCCCATGGATGTCAAGGGCAAGGTGAGGTAATTGTGAGAGGGGCAGCTGTTTATCAAGACAAAGCTCTAAGACTGATTACAATGTGAGGAGCTCATTTGTAGGACGTTGGTGGCACTGGTGTGTGCTCTTTTGGGTAACTAATCACCTACCCGTAAGCGAGAACTTCCCGCCTTCCTGACACTGGTGTTCCCTTACCGCGGCAGCTGTGGCATACGCGTGACAAAAGGGAGCAGATAGCATCCAGCGTTGCAAAGCTTGAGGCTGGAAATCTTGGACTCTCACTCACGGCTGTGCAGTGTTGTGTTCCTTGTCTTTAAAAAAGAAGAAAGTGTGACAAGTGTGGTTTCTCTGGTGAGCAGGATGCAGAAAAAAGAGCCACCTTGTGCTTTCTCTCACTAAGTATCCCTTGTGTGTTACATATAAAGGACAAAGGCAGAGCTGGGCGTTTGCAGTATAGCATGCGCCTGAATGGTCATTGGGCTCATTGCGAAACCGGTCTAAAGTAGCAGTGCAGAGGTCAGCTTTGACCTAAAGCTGAGTGGTATTAATGACTCTCTAACCTAAATGTGTATGTCTAATGGAGATGGGTGATACTCCTTGAGTGAGTCTTCATCCTTGGTTGGTGCAAACGAAACATTGTTCTGCAAAGAAACTGTGAGCAAATAGTGAGAATTCACTGCGGCTCATGTTGTGCGCTCAGGGGAATGGAAGGAACATTGAAGATGACAAGTACATTGACTTGTATTCAATTTTGATATTGAGAGTTACAGAAGCTGGTAAAAATATGTTTTCATTATTATTTTTCAGCCTATATTGTATATAGAAATAAAATAAGAGACTATAAGTGCGTCAGCAAAGCAAACAAATTGTAAAATGCCTGTTCTACACTACCACAACTATTAAAGGTATTTCTCCTAATTTAATTTTACTTTGTATTTCCAAGGGAGGTGGGGAATCTCTTCAGAATAGCTGATGAAATGGCTATGTTGCAAGCAGATATTGAAGGTTGCTGTGTTTCCTTGACGGTTTTCTGTGTTCACCTATGCGGTCTTCACTCTGTTCCTTTTTCGTATGTCAAATGGTAAATGTACGTGCTTTGTGCAGTAGGAACTGGCCTGCGTAAAAGCTGACTTTTTGCACTATTTAATTCCCCTGGCATAGCCTGCTGTCGGGTGAAGCCTTTCTGCCCACTGCTTAAGCAATGAAGGAATCTGCCTCGCTGCTGGTGGAGGTTATTTGTGAGGTTATGTTTTTAAGAATAAATATAGACTGGCTTGGAAGGTATTGAGTTGACAAATGTCATAGAAAATGGTTTTCCTTTTAGCTGATAAATCTGAGTACTCTGCTTAATTCCTGAGGGATAAGGCTGAGAGGAAAGAAAATATCTTGCTCAATATAAATTTAATACATTTGGTAGGTGTATAGCTCCTTAGATAAGAACATTTTAGTCTCATGAACAGTTTAGGTGCTGACAAATCCAAGTGGCTTTGGCACTTAGATGTGGAAAAAAAGATGTCATGGAAAAGACTATAAAGCTTATTTGAAAAGACATGCCCACAACTTTTATATATAGTATTTCTGATAAGCATTTTCTGTCTTCTTTCATGACAAATGGTGAAGACCCTGAAAAAAGGAGACAAACGATAAGTTCTGAGGATGGCTTTCTCTGATCTTGTAATACTCTTCCTCCTAGAGTGACTCTTTGCTGCATACCTTGGGTTTGTCTTCCCACCCAGCTCCATCCCACTGAATTCCGGGGCTCTCGATGGGAAGCAGAGTTGCTTGTCAGCCGTCTCGGATGCGAACGAGCCGAGAACTGGGCCCTCTGTGTTTTGTGCTTGACAAAGTAGGAGGTTCCAAAGCCAATTAAAGTTTAGTGTGCTTCTGGATATACATGGTGGCCTTGCTATGTTAGGGCTATGTATTTTACGTATAAACAATGTCTCTTGTCCCTGTTGTCCCTGGAGGAACCCTAAATTGTCCCGTGTGAATATTACAGTTGGATGGCAGGATACAATCTCAATGCTGTCCCTTGCATTCCCGTGCTGGCGTGAGACCTTGGGTGCAGGCCTGTCCCTGTTGGGAAATGGTTTCTACATGGAGATTTTGTTCGTTGTTTTACCGGTAGTTAACAGTCCTGTTTGCGCCTTTCTGTGAAATCTGTTATCTGCTGGAAGTAACTCTCACGTGCAGGATTTATGAAGCTCCCTTGTCAAACAGATTTAGTCGAAGTCAGCCATTGGAAGGACTGCTAATTAGTTTTCAGAGAAAATCCTTGCAGTATTCATGCAGGTATTTATCTAGCTATGCTGAAATGCCTACAGGTTTATTGAAATCCAGAAAATGTGAAACTGTAGGTTAATTAAGGCTCATATTTTACTAGCAAGAAGACTTTTGAACTCTGCTTTGTGAGCTTTTATAAATGTACTTATTAAATGCCTCAAGGAAATTTTAGTTGGTGTTAAGCAAACATAAGACTCATCAGAATATTTCTCCAGTGTTTTAAATTTAATTTCCTTTACGTTAATTGGTGGTGGCGTGTTTTTATGTGTTTTCTGTAAAAATCATTTGGAAATCTTAAAGTGAACATTTTTAAACCAGTAAAAGGGTGCAAAAATTTTTAAATAGTTTTTAATGAGGTTTTATTACTTGAGGTTTGAACAGAATGGGGCATACTAGGAAACAATGAGCTTTGTATAAGGAGTGCTGAGAGTATTTTACAGGGAGAAGGAGCATTCCTCTTTATTCAGTAGGTGCGTGCTGTGGAAAGAGCAGAAGACACCGACATTTCCTGCACTGTTCTCTTCATCTGCTGGGAGGTTCACACGCCTGCTTGAAGAACGGGATCGCCTTTGGCACACGCTTCTACACCAGCAGTCTCTGTGCTGGGCAAGTGGTGTCTTAGGTGGCTTATGTAGATGTGAGAGGCAGCTGCTGCTGGGCTCTGCCTCAACCGGCTGATTCTAAAGACACTTCCAGAGTATCAAATCCCAATCCCAGATATTGTGTGAGTGCAAGGAAGGAGACAGACTGGTTACAAGTACGGGGCAGGTGGTGAATAAAGGGAAGAAAACTCATGATGGAGAGATGAATTAGGAGATAAATTTTAATGAGATAAAGGAAAAATGGGAAGAACGGCAGAAAAAGATACACTGCTGACGCTGGCAGTCATCAGCTATAGGCATTATAAACTGTTAGCTTTAACCTCGTAGTCCATTACATGAATCAATTAAAGAGGAGGGAGGGAAGGACTGAAACTTTTCCTTCTCAGAATTAAGTCCACAATCCCGTTGGCAGTCTTGCCCTGAATCTATACATTTTAAATTTGAGGCTACTTGATGGCTGATCTGGATGGCCACTGTGGTCCCCTGTCATCGTTGCTTGTGAACATCACATTGTTAATTGTGTTGCAGATTGACTTAGAGCACCCTTGTCCTTTGGTGCAGAGGAGCCTGTGTGCTTCAGTGCAGCAAACCTCTGGTGCGGAGGGTGCCGTAACCGTTGTGCGGTCTGCATTGAGTCACGCTTGCGGTCAGGAAGGGCTTTTGCACGCTCTCAGACACGCCTATACATGGCAGGTAACGAGAGTGGAGTGGGAGGTGGGTGTTGGCTGTATGGTTTGTGGTGACATTGGTTGGGGAGCTGAGCAGATGGGTTTGATTGTCACCGGTGGTGTGATTCCAGTGAGAGCTGACTCTGGTGACAAGCGATTTACAATGTGCTATTTACAGTTTGGGTTTGCAGTCTCTCAATGACATCTGAGTGCTCTTTAGCAACTGCTTTCATTACTGCTTTTCTAAGAGCTGTTAATTGAAAATGAAATTGTGGGTGGGCTTTGGGAATGCAGTAGCAGCTACAAGTATTACACGCAACTGTGGAGAATCATTTAATTTCTTTGACTTGTAGCTCTGTGCAGCAGCAAGGGAAAAAGGTGTATGCATTTCTGTAGTGCGAGGTTAGACACCTTGGAAATACTGCACACACCCACAGAGAGTGATGAAGGCTTGCATCTCCTTTTACATAGCTGCTGCGATACGGGGTTACTTTACTGGCAGCCAGTGGATTTCAGTGACTGTGAAACCACAGAAGATCGGGAAGGAACCCGGGCCATGAAAATAGCTCACGCACGACAGAGGGTTTTGCGAGCCGTGCCGGCTGCGTTGGGGCTGGTTTCGCACCGTTGGAGGACTGGCTCTGGATGACTGCAGTCAGAGGAAACATTGCTGCCAACTCATAGAGCGTGGGACGGACTTGTGTGCTGCAGGGGTAGGGCCAGCTAGGCGCCGGGTCAGCCCTGGCACTGCCAGCCATTAGTGGACGTTCAGAGAATGTTTCTTTCCTTTCTGATTGTAAAGAGAGAGGTGGGGATTTTTTTTTTTATTACAAAATATTAGCACAACCACTTTGAAATGACTCAGTTTGCTGTTTGGTTTGCAGCCTACACAGCATGGTTTGATATGGGCAAGTGTTGTCAAAAGGCTGAAGTAACCCAAAGCAAGTGTCACGAGCAGCGGGACTTTGCAGGGGGCACTGGTTTAATGAAACTGTCTGCTGTCTGTTGGTATTGTGGGCATTGTTTATTTGGATTTATTTGTTGGTCCACCTTCTTAACAGTATTTAATTGGAAAAAT